AATTATTGTTTATAGTTATCATAAGGATTAAGTTGTAAACACTTTTTTAATGATATAATTGCATGTTTGTACATTTTTTTACACTAAAAATCAACAGAAAGGTATAAATGGCAATCCTTAAGTTTTGGATCAATTTATATACATTTCTTGAAATATATACTTGAATGTTGATACCTTCCTTTTTTTTAAAATGCTATTCCTAGATTTAAAAGATTTTCTTTAACATCAGGATCAAGTTAAACAGCCTTCTAGGAGAATGTAATAGCATCATCATACATTTCTTTTTGCATAAATGAATATCCCAGCTTTCCAAATGCCCAGCTGTCTTTAGGATCAAGTTAAACAGCCTTCTAGAAGAATGTAATAGCATCATCATACATTTATTTTTGCATAAATGAATATCCCAGCTTTCCAAATGCCCAGCTGTCTTTAGGATCAAGTTAAACAGCCTTCTAGAAGAATGTAATAGCATCATCATACATTTTTTTTTTCATAAATGAATATCCCAGATTTCCAAATGCCCAGCTGTCTTTAGGATCAAGTTAAACAGCCTTCTAGAAGAATGTAATAGCATCATCATACATTTTTTTTTTCATAAATGAATATCCCAGATTTCCAAATGCCCAGCTGTCTCTAGGATCAAGTTAAACAGCCTTCTAGAAGAATGTAATAGCATCATCATACATTTCTTTTTTCATAAATGAATATCCCATACATCTAAATGCGCAGCTGTCTTTAGGATCAAGTTAAACAGCCTTCTAGAAGAATGTAATAGCATCATCATACATTTTTTTTATCATAAATGAATATCCCAGATTTCCAAATGCCCAGCTGTCTTTAGGATCAAGTTAAACAGCCTTCTACAAGAATGTAATAGCATCATCATACATTTTTTTTTTCATAAATGAATATCCCAGATTTCCAAATGCCCAGCTGTCTCTAGGATCAAGTTAAACAGCCTTCTAGAAGAATGTAATAGCATCATCATACATTTCTTTTTGCATAAATGAATATCCCAGGTTTCCAAATGCCCAGCTGTCTTTAGGATCAAGTTAAACAGCCTTCTAGAAGAATGTAATAGCATCATCATACATTTTTTTTATCATAA